AGCCCACTCCCTCAGTCTCCCTGGTGGGGAGTTGCCATCTTGCATGCTGTTGAGTCCAGCCCAGAGGCCAGATGGGGAGCCCAGGGGTTGGAACTGGCTGCCACAAAACCAGCCAGGGCAGCTGTGGCACCTCCACCCCCATGGCTGTGTTCAGAGTCCTGTGTGTGTAATCCCCGCTGTGGCAGTGAGGCCCTGCACCATTCCAGCCCCTGGGAGCCAGGGGGTTTCCTTCCAGAAAAGTACCAGGCTAACAAATGGGCGAAGTCAGCTTCCAGTCTGACCCCAACAAGACCAGCATCTCCAGGCTCCACCCTTGCTCCTCACGCCCAGGGCCAGGGCCAGAGTGGGGCTGGCCGAGGCCCCTTTGGGTCACCCAAATTGTGGCGTGTGGGGGTCAACTTCCTCCTGGTTAACAGGCTGATAAGGCCAGGCCTTGAGCAGTTTGGGATTGTCCATGATGACCCTGAAAAGTCCAAGGGCCTGTCCCCTGTCCCCTTCAAGGCTTCTGTGTCCCTGTTTCATATCACGTGACAGAAACCTGTTCTCATGGCATGTAACATCCCTGTGAGAGAGCATTGTATATGATTTTGTATTTTTTAATTCATTTTAATCTACAGGTTGGAGTCTAATTTTTAAATTTTATTGGAATCCATTTTAAAAAGAAATAAAATCATTTAAAATAATGATGATTAAAAACCTTTGACCGGTGTCTTCCACGTAGTTTGATCAAAGAACGTACAGGTGTTTTTGAAACCCAGACTGGAGTGGAGATCCGAAAGCCCGGCCTCACGTGTGTATGAAGTGTAAATCTGCTTTTGTTTGTTGTTTGGGGTTCTTTTGGGTTTTGCGTTTTATTTTGAAGATCAGATAGTGATCATTCTGAAAGATTGAAGCCAAGAATTTGTAACTATGATATTTACTGTAAGCTGTAGAACATTCAATAACTATTAAAAAAAGTTTCCAAAAAAGGAAAAACCCTAGGTGACCAGCCTGGAGTGATTCTTGGGTGAGGGCCTTCAGAAGGCTACAACTTGGGCCAGCAGGTTCCCTGGGTATTCCCCCTTGATCCAAACTTGCTCTCCCGTCATGAAATCTTTACTCTGCGGGGGCACTATGATGGGGCACGTCCGGCTTGCAAGTCTCACCTTGGTTGAGGGAGAGGGAGATGTGACGTGCCTATCTGTGCACTCGGGGCAACAATCCTCGCAGCCTGCCCCCCCCCCCCATCTCCCTGCCCATGCCGGAGGAGGCACAGCCTGAGCTTCCTACTGGGTCCATGCCAGCTGGGAAGGCATGGTGGGTTATAACCAGAGCTGAGGGTGACTTGTGGCCTCCCTCCCCACACACATTATCTCCTGGATCGAGCTTGTCCCCATGCCCAGGCATGTCTGCCATCTCCGCCTGACCCCACCCTGGGTCTGCCCCCCTGGCCTCCAGGAACTCAGCTGAGAGACGGCTCCCGGGCAAACCAAGGGAAGACTGACCTGGCTCCCTGGACTCCGTCCACGGTGCAGACTAGCGGGCTCTGCGCAGGCTTCAAGCTGTGACTAGGAAGCAGTCGCCCTTCTGAGGAGCCTCTGGTTGGTGAGATACCAGCTCTTTGTTTAATCAAATGCTTAACCAGCTTATTGCACAGGGAATTTGAACTGTCCAACTTCGCCCTGTGCTGCTGTGGCCCCGCCCCAGGCTTCCCTTCCACACTGCCGCCTGTGGTGGGGAGGGACTGTCAGAGTGGGGGCACCTCACAGGGGGAGGGGGGGGCACACACACAAGGGGCGATGTCAGCCACAAGGCAGGGTGGAGCGGAGGATAAGGAGCAGGCTGGGGAGGGGTGATGCAGGAAGAAGTCGCAGAACTCACCCTGCCTTCCGCTCTCTCCCCTACTGGGCGGCAAGGGGCAAGCCGGGGAGGGTGGAGGCCCTGAAGGCTGAGGGTAGGGGCCCATTCTATCTCATCTCACCCAGCCTGCTCCATGGGGAGCTGGCCACGGAGGGGACCACAGCGCTTGCCTTGGGGCCCAGCACTGGGAGGGGGATGTCCCTTACCTGGAGGCCGGGCCAGACTTCCCATGAGGGAGACTGAGATCAGGGTGGATAGGGCCCAGCCTCCCACCCTGTCCGTCAGGTGGCACTCATTCTGGTCCCCATCCCCCAAGTTGATTTGCTGTGGGTACAGCCAGGTTTGCAAAACCCAGCCTTGAGATGCAGTGCGTCGCACAGGGGTGTCAGGTGTACCCTGGTGGCCCCAAAGAGTTTCCTGGGGTGCACTGCTGATACACTTGGACCCTAGACTTGGCTAAACTTTGCTACTCTAGGAAATTCTTCCTGGCGTCTAAGCCCCTGTTCTTGCCTCCATCTGGAACTGCAGGTGAAGCGGTGGGTCCTCTGGTACCTCTTTTCTGCCCCACCCCACCCCACCCACCGCCTGCTGGAAGAGCCCCCCAACTAGAGTTTAAGTGACCGGCACAATGCCGGGTCCCCTGGGAGAGGTCGGAGCCTTTGCCATCTGCCCAGCAAGGCCTAAGGTGGGGTGTCCTCAGCTCAGCTCTATTCAGTGAAGCTTGGCCTCCAGCCCCAGCACGGCCACCCCTCAGCCCCTGCGCCCCTGGCTCCCGCTCTCACCAGGCCCACCTCCCCTCGCACTTAAATGTCACCTTCCACCTTTAAAAACTTAACAGATGTTGACCCTGCCAGAGTTTAAATGACCTTCTGATGCAAGTGCCCTGCCCCTGATCCAGGAACTCTCTTATGTGGCAGCAACTGTGATGTGTCGCTTTTAAAAATTACTCTCTTAGCCTTCCCCAGCCCCGCTGACAGGCTTCTGCAGGGAGCTGGCCACACACCACCCCAGCCCTGGGGGCCCGGCCCGCCCTCACTGCCTCTTGAGGGGCCTTCCACCCACCTCGGAGCTGACTGAGCCTGAAGCACCCGGCCTCCTCCCCACCTCCCCTGCAGGGAGACCATCTCTCCCCTGCCCCTGGGTAGCCCAAGGACCTTGTCCCCCACTCCCCACCCTAGATGGGATCTCAGCCCGGGTCTGTCTCTGCAGAGCTTCACAGCCAGCGCCCTCCCACAGGCCCTGATGACTGCCCCAAGATGGCCACTCCTGTCTCCCAACCTTCACATGGCCCAGCCGCTGGCCCTCATTCCGTTGCAAAGGCCAGCACGACTGTTCCTGGACTCTCACTGGGGCCCTTCCTTTCTCCTGGTCACACCTACGTGGCCCGGCCACAGCCTCGTCATGAGGCCGCTGCTGCAGCCTACTCCCCCGTGAACAACGGGTCCTCAGCACCTGTGCTGTGAAGCTCGTGGCTTCCCAGAGCCCTCTGCTGCCCTCCGGCCCGGGTTTCTCCACGCCTCTGTCAGTGCCCTCCTGAGTTCTCCAGCTCTCCGCGTCCCTGGCGGTCCCTGGCCTTTCCACACCTTGTCCCCTCTGCCTGGAACACACGCTCCCTTCCACGGGGCATGCACTTCCTCAGGAGCCGCCCTGGGCAGCCACGCTGGCTTTGAGAAGCACTCCCAGGGTGCTTCATGTGGGAGAACACCGCCGGATTTGAAGGCGTCATAGTCCCAAACGCAATGGACGTAGCTTGTTAACGGTACTTTTCGTTTCATGTTGACGTGGAAATATTTGGGATGGTCCTGGGTCAGCTACAACGCTCACTCGTGTGGTTGAAATGTGAGTCCCACCGTTTCCTGTGCCCGCCCGCCCTGGGCGGCGTGAGCACGGGTGCTCGGTTGCTGACAGACTGCAGAGGACGGGCTCTGCCTGGAGGCGCCTCGGCAGGGAGGCCGGCCACAGCCCTGCGAGCTCCGCTGACCCGGCCGCAGCCCTGCAAGCTCCGCTGACCCGGCTGCAGCGCCGCGCTGCTTGTGGAACGCGTGGCTGTGCGGACTGTCTGGGTGGCATAGGCAGTGCTCGTTCTGTTTCTGTGGAGATGGGAGAGGCTCAGAGGCCCGCCTGCCAGGAGTGGGTGCAGGAGGGGGGCCTGCCCAGCACGAGGGGGCAAACGCTGACAACCTGAGGAGGCATGGGGGCGGGAAGCAGTTCCTCCCAACACCACTTTCCCACCATTTATTGTTCAGAAGACGGATGGACGGGGGCACAAAAGCCAAGTTTCAATAAATAAGAGAAATGCGGTGGTAGCAGTGGGCCCGCGCCTGCACGGCACCACATAAATAACCAGTGTATGGTCGGGTCACGGGTCATCAGGCAGTCGCCTGCACTGCCCAAGGTGGGGGAACCAATGTGCCAACACCACAGGGACACGGGAACCACCGTGGTCAGAGGTGCTTCTCTGGCCCCCTTACCAGCAGCAAGCTCCTGAGGTCCTGGGCAGCCAGGGGCTCTGCCCGGGTAAGCCTGCTGCCCCTTCGTTAGGAAGGGTGAAGAGGAGGGGCGGGGCAGGTGCACATGCATTAAGCCAGGGCTGGAACAGGCTCACTAGGACCTTGAAGCAGGCGGCAGCTAAAACGGGGGCCAGAGAAAGGTACTGATGTGGGGCAAGGCAGAGACTCAAGCTCCTCCCCCGCACTGGCCCCAGCCGAGCTGCCCTCTCCCCACTCAAAAGCCAGACACTGGGACCCTGCTGCTCCCTGGGGCTGTCAGGAACTCAACCCCCACTAAGGGCTTCCTGGTGTTTCCCTCACCCCTTTACAGGACCTGCCAGAAGAGGAGGAGGAGGCCCAACTGTCTGGGGCCCTGGACGGAAGTAAGAGTGGGGCTGGGAGTAGCGGGCCGAGGGTCCGCTCCCTACCGAGGTGAGGCCCCCAGTTGATAGAAAGGGCCCTGCTGGCTCTGAGGATCTGGCCAGGGCCGAGCAGGGGGCTCCTGCAGGGAAGGGGCAGGGCAGCAGGGGCCTGCGGTGGGTCCCCTCTGCTGCACACATGGCCAGTCAGCCTGCCTCCTTGCTGGGGCACGGTCCCACCTCCAGGCCTTGGCCTCTACAGTGGGTGCTGTCTGCCTGGCCATTACTGCTGGTTGGCACAGGCCCAGATGCAGCTCTTCCTCCTCCAGGATCCCTCAGGGACCTTCCAGGGCAGGGTTCGGTATCCTGCGGCCAGTCAGTCCTTCAGATGACGAGGTTGCTCTCGCTTAGGCGGACCACATAGCAGTTCTCCTGGGGGACAGATGGAAGGGTCGGGTGCTGACCAGGGGCCTTCTACCTGCCCACAGCCCCCTGAACTCTGTCTGCCTTTGGTCAGGGTTGTCCCGGGAACCAACAGGCCCCTCCCCTCTTTGGCCCTCACCTCAGGCTTGTTCTCCATCGGAGGCTTCGGCCACTTCGAGTGGCTCGGGCCGCAGCCCAACAGCGTCCGCTGCTCCAGCGGGGGGCCTGCCCGCAAGGAGTCGGGGGAGTTGGCCCCTGAGGGCCCAGCCTCTGTGATGGTCTTCACCTCAGAGGTCCCTGAACTTGTCCGCTGCTCAGGAATTCGAGCCACACGGAACCTGTGAGGCAAGGTGGTGCCCCCACACCCCCGTTAGAGATGGGAAGTGCCAGCACCCTGGGCTCAGCATCATGCAGCAAATTCATGCGTCAACCTTTGACCTTGTCATACCCAGCCCTTCCCAATGCCCTTCCACCTGCAGGGTTCAATCGGCTTCCTGTACCCAGCCCCTGAGCCCTGCACGCCCACCCCAGATGGCAAATAGACTATCCCTTGCCTTAAGGGGCCCAGTTGTTCCTCTACTATCCTGCCTGCCTTCAGCATTCAAGAGCTCCATATAGGGCAGCCCAGCTAGGAGCACTGGACTTCTCTCTGGCCACCTCCCAGAAGCCCAGGAAGGGGGTTCCACCCTGACTATCCCCCACCCCCAGTCCCTGGGCCTGCCTCACCTGCCCACCGACAGAATGGTGATCTCCCCTTGGCGCCCCCCCTTGGCCCCGGCCTTGGGAACCCGGGTTGAGCTGGACAGGAAGCTGGGGGCAGGCGTGGTGGCTGCTGCAGCCTCAGGGGACAGCAGGACCTCAGGCCACTTCTTCTGGCTACATCGGGAGCAGCAGGGGCCGGAGAGGGAGGCCAAGCCCTGAACCGTGTGCAGGTGGTGGCGGTGCGGGCAGACATGTGGCATGTTGGGGCGGCCCGGTGGTAGCCTGCAACACAAAACCACACATGCGAGGGGCAGTCGCTGGGCAGCTGAGGACCAGGAGACCAGGAGGTGGGAGGTGGGGGTCGGTGACAAAAGCCTGTCCCACCTGCCTGCTCACCTGGGCACAGGCTTGTGACTTGTCTGCACCAGCTGTTTGCTGTGATAATCTCTCAGCAGCTCCTCCAGGGCCGCCGCGTTCTCTGTGGGCAGCCGTAGTCAGAACCCAGCCCTGGGCGCCCAGTGGACGCACCCTCCCCAACACCCCCTACCTACTCCCTGCCACCCTCACCCTCAATGAGCAAACTGGAGGGAAAGGGCCACGCTGCCGGCAGAGGTGACTCGGGCAGGCTGAGGCATGTCAGAGCCTCCCCTCACCTTTCTTCTCAGTGATTAGGCGCACCAGAACGCCGATGGTGTCGTCCTCAGTGGGGTCCTCTGCCCGGTAGGCAGGATTGATCCCTGGGGAAGAGAATAAAAGGACCAGGGTCCTGGAGCCGCGGGAGCTATGCCAGAGTCTGCCAGCAGAGGTCGCCCCAGGCCTACTCAGACTCAGCAGCCAGGTCTCCCTGAGGTCTGTGAGTTTAGGTAGTGAGGGTCCCTGGAGCCAACACGCCTCAGGCCTCGGCCCTAGAGCAGCCTATTATTAGCACCTTATGGCTCAGCATCACTGCTTCCTGTACCCAAGAGTACAAGATGCTCAGAGGCTGGGGACAGGGGTATCTGAATTCCTCTGGGCTGCCTCCTTACCCAGAACTCGAACAGCTCCAGCAGAAAGCAGCTAGCTAGCTAGCCGGTAAAGGAGGCCCCTGGCTGGCACCATCCTGGCAGGATGACCCGAGTCTCCCATCCTTCTTTCTGCCTATCTGCAACTCCTGCCTCTCCGCCCCCACCCCACCCTGGCCCACTGGCTGGGGAAACACTGCTCCCATCTTGACTCAACCTAAGGTTCCCACGAGGGGCTTCAAAAAGTTCATGGGAAAATGAAAGTGAAAGATAGGGCGTTTCCCCAACTCTTGGCAGCCCCCTCATATGTGCACGTGGCAGCACCCTATCCTACTAGTCTGCGGGGGGTGGGAGGGGTGGGGGGGGAGTTGGGCAGGGCCTGGGGGAGGAGAACTGGTCTCTCTCCCTGGCTCCAGGGCTGTAACTCAAACCACAGCCTGGAGCTGAAACTTGAGCCCCTCACAATGCCCGCCCCAGGCAGCTGCCCCTAGTCAGCCAGCCCTCTTGAGGCAGGGAAGGCCTCCCGCTCCAGGCCAGAGGCCAGAGGCCAGAGGTCAGAGGTTGCATTGAGTACCAAGGAGGCAGTCACAGAACTGAGGTCCCAAGGAGCTCAGAGCCCTGCAGGTGGGTAGATCCTCCTCTGCTCCGAGAGTCCTACTGCTCGCCCCCCGCCCCCCACCCCGTGGAGGCCGCCCCACGTGCCTCCCCTCCCAACCCCGGCCAGGCCTCACCAGTGTCCGGGCCGCTGGGGCCGGGCCCGGCCTCCTTGTGGGCAGTGCAGTGGTAGCCCTTCCGCTTCAGCAGGTTGCACACCAGGATGCCCAGCAGCCCCATGAGGCAGAAGACCGGCACGATGGCAATGACCGCGTACTGCGCCGCCGTCTCCTCGGGGCTGCCAGACCGCGTGCCATTCCCGGGCACCGGCACCTCCTCACCACCTCCGGCCCCCTCGGCCTGCTCCACGCCACGACGGGCCCGGTGTCCCAGCCCTGAGCACCACCGCAGGGGATGGAGGAAGATAGTCAGGCCTGTCCCTGGGCACCCAGGTCCTAAAAGCCCCCACTCTCGGCCATCTGGCCTGTCATACTGAGCCGGAAGGGGCGGGGGTGGGTGGGGTGGGGGTTGGGGGGGTACTTGGCTCTTGCTGGGTGAGGTGGGCAGAAGGCATACTGGGGACCCACGCCATGACCACCTGGTTGGTGGAGCCTCGGTGACGGGCTCAGTGGGTGAGAGGAGGTGTGTGCGTGTGCACACCTGCAGGTGTGTGTGCCTACAGGTGTGCAAGGGGGGGTGCCTGAGGGCTGGGTCTCTGAGGGGCTGCAGGGAGGGGACAGGTCAGGATGTGAGCCCACCAGCCCCAGGGGCCCTGGAGGCACAGGCCCAGCTGTGGCTGCCACTTGCTCAGCAACAGGGTGGGCAGAGCCCAGAGCCAGTAATGCTGCAGGGCCTCCTCTTGGTGGCCGGTGGCCGCAGGGCGGGCCTCTGGGTGCCCCGACTATCGCTGCTGGGCCTGGGTTCGGTTGGACCCTCCCCCACCCCATCAGTCCTCACTTGACCACTCACCATCACAACCTTGTGTACCCAGAGGGGCCCAGGAGCAGGGCTGACATGGGATGTGGGGGGCCCCATCAAGGGCAAACCACCTGCAGAAGGAGAAGACATTACTCGTTCTCCAAATCCATTGGGGTCGGGGGCAGGGGAGCAGAGAGGCCAGTGGGTTCTTGCCCAGCACTCTCCTAGGTACTGACCCATCCCAGTTCTCAAGACGAGACAGGTGACCCAGGGTTCGGTCTCCACTCCCCACACTCCCCACTGTGACTCACCCAGGCCGGCAGGTACCACAGAGTGTGTCTCGAGTTGCTGAGCCCACCTGGGCAGCCAGTCGCCCTCCACGGCTGCAGCGGGTGTGGGGCTGGCATGGGCTGGGTCCCCACGAGGCTGAGAAGCTACCTGGGGGGCAGGCCCTGCATAACTGGGCTCCCCACCTCAGGTCCTGTGGGAGGGAAAGGGTGAGACTGAGGTTGCTGGGGAAACAGGGCCTGGGCACTCCCCTTGGGGTCCCCAGGAGCCTTCACAGGGCTGGATAGATGGGCAGGGCTGGGCTCACCAAGCTGGGCTCCTCCCCAGGTGGGCACTGCCAAGGTGAGGTTGACGCTGGAATGGTGGGTGGCCAGGGCAGCAGCTGAAAGAACAGTGAGCAGGAAGGAGTTTGTCCAGGCAGGTGACATCCATCCACCACCCCCTTCTTCCCTGGGGTGGGGACACTGAGCATGCAGGGCCACCCCAGCCAGGCTCCTGGAACTTCTAAGCGCCATCCCTGCAGCTGTCTGTGCAACTGTCATGCCCAGGCCGGCTGCATCCATGCACACAGGCCTCGAGCTCGTGTCTGCTCTGGAGAGGGCAGGAAAGCCCTGGGATCAGCTGGGATCGCTGGCTCAGGGGCTCTGAGTCACAGCTTTCCAGACTAGCAGGGGGGCGAGGAGGATGTGCTTCCCAATTTCTCTCCCAAATCCCACCCACTTCCTACGGCCCCGCTCTCCTCCCGCCCCCATCACAGCTGGGCATGTCATTCGCTGACCCTGCTTCTCCTTGGAGACCTGGTAGGGTGGCAGCAGATGCACCAGGGACCACATCCTCCCAGGGCCACGCCAGACCACCTGGTCCCTTCTTACCGGGCAAACAGGGCAGGGCATGTCTCACAGGAAAGTGCCCCCCTGCCTATTCTCCTGGGACAGGAGCTCCCTGAGGCCTCCCATTCCAGAGGGGGCTGTCTCCCTGAATGCCTCCTGCTGAGGGAAGATCCTTGTTCTCTAGTCTGGTCCGGGCTGGGGCAGCGGGCAGGGGGGCTCAGAGCAATGCCAGCCACTCTTGCCATGAGTGACTCTGGCAACCTCGGCTGGCCCTGGCCCTGGCTCTAGCACCTGCTGGGCCAGGGGGTACATTCTCACTGTCCCCGGGTTTCCAGCAATGGACCCCTGACTGGACCCCAAGGACCCCAGCAGAGACTGTGAGGCTGTACACCCGGGTGCCTCAAGATTCTGGGCAGCTGGCTGGTCTCTTGACACTGGGATCCGGACCCTGGGTCCCAGCTAAGGTGCCCAGGGTCTCAGACTGCAAATCCCTGGCCACTTTGCCCAGTTTCCCCTCTCCCTGGGATCAGGCCCACCTCCCTGTGGCACTGTTCCCACACACAGCAAGCAGGTATCTTGCCCTCAGCCACGCCCAGTCCACAAAGGCAAGCAAGCCCCGCCTTCCCCTCCCCGCAGCAGGGGGAGCCGGAGGCCTTCCAAGGCTTGGACTGCCCCAGACTTCTGCCCACCCCACCCTGGGGTTCCTCCCTGAGGGCCTGGGGGGCAGGATTCAGGACGGGGCTCCTCAGCCCCCCACCATCCCCTCCCCAGCTCACCATCAGGAGGCAGGACAGAGGCCAGTGCTGTGGGCTCAGCTTCATCATCAGGCCGGGGTGGGGGTGGGGGGAGCCTGGAGCAGAGGAAGGAAGAGGAGCAGTGAGGGCTGGAGCAGGCTGCAGCCGATCCTCCTGGAGGGAGGGGTGCCCTCAGGCCAAGACTAGATAGGAGGTTTTCAAGAGGCCCCAGGCAGCAGGCTATACCTGTGGACGCCTGATAAGAGGTGGGGGTGTCCTGTGGGGAGCCTCGCAAGGGAAGCAGAGGCATCCTTTGAAGGAAGAAGCCTGAGGCAGCCCCTGGGGCGGAGGGAGACTCCCCTCCCCCCCACCTCTCCGAGCCTTACCTCAGCGCCCTAGCTCCAGCCCCTGCTACCCAGAACCAGACCTGCTGTCTCTCCTGCTCCCTACTCCCGGGAAAGCCCTCTCCCTCACCCCCCTCTCCCTCACCCTTCAAAATCCTTTTCCAGAAGCTTCCCTCAACACCCCCTTTGCTCAAAGCTGCGTCGGAATCTTCAGTGACCCCCACCCCGAGTTCTGTGTATGTCCCACTTCTGTTCCTTCACATTCCTGGTTCTGTCCCCGTGGCCAGGGCCCATTCTCCACACCTGCCTGACCCCTCAGGGCAGGCAGGGATGTGTGTCTGGTTTGATCGCTGCACCCAAGCCAGGCTGGGCAGGTCTTTGGGGGTGGGGGAAAGCATCGTGGCCAGTACTCAGCCTCTAGTCACTTCTTCTGCAACCCACTGTGTGCAGAGCACCTACTGTGCGCCAAGCACTGCCCCAAGCACCAGGGTCACTGGTGTGAAGGGACAGAGGCACCCAGTCTTAGGCCCCCCACATCCTGGAGAGCTCTTCTGTCAGACTGGTGGGAAGGAAGGGCCAACAACAACACAGAGGGAGAGGGCCAGCCGGCCATCGGGGAGGGGCCTGGGGAAACTGCAGGGGTGGCTCTGGAGCACCCTTCCCCCCATAAGTCTCGAGTCTGGTCTTTGGGGCTGGTGACCTGGTTGGAAGAGCGGAGAGGAGGATCTAGATGTGGCAATCACAGAGACCTACACACGCAGTTGCCCGAGGCCTGGCTTCCAGCTGGCTGGTGACCCCAGGAAGCCCTGTTGGCCTTGGCATCAGCAACAAGCCCTACAGCCCCTGTGCCCTGAGGGGAGCGCCCCTGCTCCCCAGATTCATAACAGGAATGAGGAAGCAGGCAGGCTGGGAAGACTCTGCCTGGAACCCCTACTAGCTGATGTCAAGTCCTTGTGGAAGGGTCAGGGCCAAGCAGACCCCAGATCTCATCATGTGAGGTCTCCAGGCCTGTGGGTGCTGGAAAGGGAGCCGAGGAAACTGATCCGCAGCCTGACCTCGCTGCCTGGGCCTGCACAGATCTTTGGGGCCAGGGGTTTGAGTTACTTCCCGGGGAGTGGGGCAGGCGGGGAGAGACGGCTGTCACGTCATCCTCTCCGGGTCCCTGGCAGCCACCCTGGGCCCCAGGCCAGCTCAGGGGAAAACCAGGGCAGGAAAGGACCAGCCACCACGCTGGGAGAAGGCCACATCTAGCTGTCAGCACCCAGCAGATGGTACCCGCCCACCCCCGCTCGTCCACTCCTTGTCCTGCCTCAAATCTGGTCACCAAGGCTTCCTTTCCAGTGTCTGCCCCCAGCCCATGCCCACCTTCACTTATAAACCCCTCTCCTTATGACCCTGCCCTCCAAGAGGCCCACCCCGCAGCCCTGCCAGGAGACCTGGGCCCTAGAGCTGCCCCCATAGCCACGCCCAGCCCCCAGCCCACTTCCATGACCAAGGGGGTGCCAGTAGTGTGGGGGAGATGCAAAGTGAGGGGCCAAACAGAGGGGACACCCCATCCCACCCTTACCCTAGCCTGCAGAGGACACTGTGTGCGGCTCTCCCCAGACGAGGAGGCCTTTCACCCCCAGATTTCTGGCTGGAAAGGGGGCCCAGAGGCCCAGACATGATGCCAGTGGGGGCCCACTCTCAGACACTCATTGCCTAGCGCCCTGCCGCCTTCTAATTATAAGCCTTCTAATTATCCCACAGGGGCATTTACTCCAGTCGGGCTGCTAGTCTGTCTTCAGAGCTTCACCAGCCCCCACCCCGCCAGAGGGAGCAGCAGGGCCAGCCCGGCTGCCCTGAAAAGTCTGTTTGCTGGCCTCTGAGCTCTGGCCCCTCTTTGCAGGCACCGGTTCCCCATTAAGCAGTGAGGTCTGACCCCTCTGAGGGCAGGCTGATGCTCCTGATGGCCCCCTCGTGGTGGCTCTCCAAGGCCCCATCCCACCCCTCTGCCTAGTCCCTGTGGCTGAGCAGGGGGCTGCCGAGGGGGCTTCTTGGAGGAGGGTGTCCCAGCTGGGCTACCAAGGACCCTCAGCTGGAGAAAGGGGACTGAGCATGATCCCAAGAGCAGTGTCCTCTGGCCCAGGGGCATCCAGAGAAGGGAGATAGCTCAGAGACCACGCTTCCCATGCCTCCTAGCCTGGGCCCCGTCCCCACGGCCAACGCCTCCCTGTGGGACCAGGACCCACCTCTTCACCTTCCTGGGTCTCCCTCTCCACATGCCCTTCTCCTGGGGAGGCCGTCATGAGGCTGAGATAGGGTCATGAGCCTAAAGTAGGTCATGTGTCTCCCAACTGACCCCACCCGGCACGTGGTTCGTAACTACATATTTATTTGCTTACTTGTTTATTGCTTACTCCACACCAGACAGTAGCAAGGGCAAGGATGTCTGTTTTATCCACCACAAAACCCCACACCTGGCCTGGTGTCTGGGACCCAACCCAGGCCTCACAAAACCACCTCTCTGAGGTAGGCGAAGGGGTTCCTCAGTCTCACCCTCCCTGCCCC